GCACGGCTGGGTTGGTGTCTAATTACTGACAGCCGCTGGAAGAGGATTGTTTGAAATGGTCGACAGTCCTTGGCCAAGTTTCTAGCAGAACGTGATACAACCTTCCCTCGGTTAACACAGTAGCTGCATTTCCTGGAAAATTCAGAGCCTATTAAAAACAAAACAAAATAAAACAAAACAGCTTACAAAAAGGGCTTTGTGTTTACAAGAAGGGAGAGGCAGGTTCTGGCCTCTGATCATTATTACCAGGTTTTTTTCATGTCCTAGGAGGGCTATGGCAGATCAAACCCACCAGCCACTCCACAGAAGGCAGATGAGGCAATCTGCTTCCATAAAGATTTACAGCCTTGGAAACCCAATGGGGGTTGCTATGTGTTGGAATCGACTTGCTGGCAGTGGGTTTAGTAGGTCTGTGGTGTATTGGGTAAGAAAGACATCTGGCTGTTAATCAGAAGGTCAGCAGTTCAAATCCACCAGCTGCTCTGTGGAAGGAAGATGGGGCAATCTACTTCTGTAAAGCTTCACAGCTCGGAAACCGAATGGGGGTCATTATGAGTCTGAATCCATTCGCTGGCAGTGGGCTTGGTTTTTACTTTTTGTCGTTGTTGTTTTAGTAGGGTTAAAAGTCAGTCGGTATGCACTAGGATGGAGATGGTTGTCGCTGATGACTGCTGTGGGTTTGGCTCCCATGCACCGCCACCCCATGCACAAGGAAGCTGTTCCGGTTACCTAGTAAACGGGGTTTATTCTTACAGTTTGGAGGCTGGAAGTCCAAGTTCAAAGTGCCAGGCTCTAGGGGCTGGGTGAAAGCGCCTCAGCCTTGGGGTCCAGCTCTGCCTCCTGCTCCCGGCCCACTGGAGCTAGAGGCATTTCTTCACTCAGACAGCTGCTGGCTGCTGAGGCTGAGAAGCCCCAAGGTTGACAAGTAAAAAGGCACAGTCCTGATGTTACCAAACCACACGGCAGGCCATTAACTCAAGTCCATTGAAAGTCTCAAGGTCGGCAGAGCATGGCAGGCTGCTGAGCAATGACACGGCTACATGCAGGGTCCAAGCGTGCCATAGGCTAGAGACCATTCCCAAGGCTTCTCCTTATATACAGGAAGCAGACCACATCCCAAAGGCAGCTACTCAGCTGCTTGTGGTAGATCCCACCGTGGAGTTGATTGCCAGTCTCATCATGGGGAATAGCTACCACCAGCTGCCCAGCCACTCAGCCAGGCCCAGCCAAGCTGACACACAAACTACCACAGGAACCAAACGCTGCTCACACTGTTCCCATCAGCCGTTGGGGATCGGACTGTTATGATCCACAAGGCTTCCACTGGCTGATTTTGGGAAGTAGACCACCAGGCCTTACCTCCCAGTCCATCTTAGTGACGAAGTCTTGCTGAAACCTATTCAGGACGCCAGCAGAACACGTGCAGTGGGGGTGACCACTCAGCAAGGGAAGCACCGACTGACTTGTCCTTACCCACCAGCCACTCCTGGGAAGGAAGGCTGGGCAATCTACTTCCATAGTGATACCGCCTCGGAAACCCAAGGAGGGGTGGCTATGAGTCAAGTCAAGTCAATGGCAGTGACTTTGGTTTGGGCTTTGCCTCCAGTGGGTGTGGTTTGGGCTTTGCTCCCATAAAGACTGACAGCCTTGGAGACCCTGTGGTGCAGTTCCACTCTGTCCTCTAGGGGCGCTGTGGGTCAGAATCCCCTCCAGGCACTGGGTTTGGTTTGGGCTTTGCTTCTGTGAAGGTAGGAGCTCTGGTGGCGCAGTGCCTAAGGCACGTGACTGCTAACCAGAAGGCTGGAGGTTCAAACCCACCAGCCACTCCTGGGAAGGAAGGTCTGGCAATCTACTTCCGTAGTATACTGCCTCAGAAACCCAAGGAGGGGTCGTGATAAGTCAGATCCCACTCCATGACACATAACAAGTTAACAGCTGGTGTCAATCAAAAGATCACACCAACAATTTCTGTCGTGTTTAATTGTCAGTTCTGACTGTTGGCGACCCCGTGTGGGGGAGTAGAACTGTCCTATAGAGTTTTCTCCGCTGTGATTTTTTTTTCAGGAACAATTTATTTTGTTGTTGGGAACATACACAGCAGATTCAACCGTTTCTCCACATGCAATCCAGTGACCCTGATGACGTCTCTGGAGTTCTGCAACCATCCCCACTCTCCCTTTCTGAGTTGGTCCTCCCCGACTACACAGACTCACTGCCCTCAAGCTCCCTGCCCACTCTTTCTAGTTACTGTTGTCACTTTGATCCCATATAGTTCTTTTTTAAACAACTTTTTATTGTGATTAGAGTGAAAGTTTACAGAGCAAATGGGTTTTCCACGCAATGATTCCTACACGCTTTGTCTCGTTACACTGACTAGTCCGTACGATGTAACTGCTGTCTTCCAACTTCCTCTCTGGGTTCACCGTTTCTCAGGTACGTTCAGTGGGACCTTTGGAAATGGGAGCAGACGAGGGGCTGTGCTGGCTGCGCGAACGGCCCCGCCCACCGGGAACCATTCCCACCCAATAGCCAAGGGCCCCGCCCCGCCACTGCCATAACCCCAGTCACCTCTGCACATTTCCGGTATGCGCCTCGGGGACTGACAAGGCGAACCCCTCCGTGAGCCACGTGCGGGTCCAGTGGTTCAGAGCAGGGCTCTGGCTGTTGGAGCCCCAGGAGGCTGGATCACACGCGCACCCACGCTTGCTGGACCATGCAGTGTCTGCGGCCAAGGACTGCACGCTTAGCGCACATGGGCTGTCCATCTTCTCGCGGCAATTCCGCGATGTTACCATCCGTCCCCCAATTTAGAGTTTCAGGGGCGGAGACTTGCCTGAGATCACAAAGGACCGTAGTAACCCGGCCAGGAATAAATGCAGCCCGGCCACCTGACCCTGTCACCACTGAGTGCCTCAAACCCACTTCCGTTTCGCGGGGTAACAGCTGTCATTATCCCACAGCTGTTGGGCACCCGCCAAGCCGATTCCAACTCATGTTGACGGTGTGTGACAGAGAGGACCTGCCCCACAGGGTTCTCTAGGCTGTCATCTTTACGGGGGCAGATCGCCAGCTGTTTTCTCCTGCAGAATGGTTAGGGAGTTTGATTGAGCGACTTTTTCCTTAGCATCTGAGCACAACTCTATGTCACGAGGGATCCTCTTCCCTGATTCAGAAAGAGGGCACAGAGAGCGAGCGAGCAAGGGTGGTGCAAGTTCCCGCTGCGAGGAATCAGCAGCCTTGGGACTTGAATCCTGGCCTCTGGTTCTTCAGAGCCTGTGATTTGAACCCATGGTCTCAAAAGCCAGGTGTGTGAAGGACAAGCCACTGGGGTGAGGCAGGAAAACATAAGAGCCTCTACTTCCGTTTACTTTGTAAGATGGAATAATTTAAGTTTTATTACTACCTAACATACAGACTGACAGCAGTGTACCATCTGTCCATAATTACACACACTGGAGGAACATGCCCAAACAGTACTTACTCTTGGGTGTATGATAAAATAGGAAGTCACCGTCGCTTCTACCGGCTCAGCTATTTGGCTTCCCCAAAGCCCCTCTTGGGTACCATGACCAGTTGTTAGGTGCCGTGGAGTCAATTCTAACTTAGGGAACCTATTCGATTCTGTTCTAGGATCTACGGGACTGACTCCTGGCCACGGCGAGGAAAGGAGAACTGTCCTAGACCTGTCATCTTCACAGGCGCGCACTGCCAGGTCTCCGTCCCGTGGAGTTGCTGAGTGGGTTCAGACCTCTGACATTTGGTTAGCAGCCGAGTGTTTAACTGCTGCGCCATCAGGGCTCCTGGTGAGTGGATCATAAAGCAGCCAGCTGTGACTCACGGTGACCCCCTGTGTGTCAGAGTGCTCCATGGGGCTCTCCCTGGCTGATTTCACAGAAGCAGACCACCAGGACGGTCTTCCAAGGCGCCTCTGGGTTGACTCGAACTCCCAACCTTTCAGTTAGCAGCCGAGAACATTGACCAGTGACATCACCGGGGACTCCAGAGAGGGGCACAGTGGGCCAAGTAACAGTGTAGGTTCCACAGCCTGACGGCCTGGGCTCAAGTCCCTGCTCTGCTACTGCCTAAGCTATCTGACTGCGAACAAGTGACTTCACTATTCCGGCCTGTTTCCTTATCTGTAAAACGAGAACAAGAGCTGCTCTCAGCTGGGAGGCTCGAGGTGAGAGAGAAACCAGGCGGAGCGCGCCGAGCGCTTACCACAAAGCCCTGCGCAGTAAGCGTGAGCTGCGAACACTGGCTATCCCGCCTTGCAAGGCAGGAAACAGGTGCGAGGACTAAAGTGATGAGGTAACAGGTAAGCAGTGAGGCCGGTACACGAAGCCCACAGCCGCACTTCAGAGAGGCTGTCCTTCTCTCCAAGGAAGACAGGAAGACGCATTCCGCTTCCGTCTGAGGAAGAAGGGGAGACGGTCATCACCGCCCCAGCGCACAGGGGCTTAGAGACAGCACCAAAGGTTCAAGAGCGCACTGGCTGTGCAGAGGCCCTCAGCTATGTCGCCCTGGGCAGGCTCCCTAGGCCACTAGACGCGGGATAGAGGCGCCCTCTAGTGGCCAAAAACAATCCCAGCCGCCAAGGGGCCCGGCGGGCCACAGGAGTGTCGCTCTCCCAGATCCCGGATAGAGAGCTCTTAGCATCCTTGGCGCGGGCTTGCGGGGGCCCTGCGGGGCAGCTCGGCCTCCTGGCCCCGTCCACCAAATGCCCGTGGCAACCTCAATTCCTAGAATGATCCAGGTTGCACCCACACGTCTCCGTGGCCCAGGAGAGGCGAGTCATCCGAGACTGTCAGGCGTGGCTCTCGCCTCCAGCGAAGCCAGCATTCTCCCTGGGGCCAGCTTTCCGTTGTGCGTTCTCTTTCCCAGTTTTTTCCCCACCCCACCCCACCCCCAATCATACAAAGCTGCTCCACACCCAGAAAGACCCCACGTGATTGCTTCCGCTGCGTGAGTGAGTGCTCCCCGGCCTCGGCGGGAGCTGAGGGCTTCAGCTGCCTCCTGCCAGGCTCCGGAGGGCTGGGTTGGGGTACTCGGGGTTCTCGATGACCCCGGGGCCGAATTTGAGCTCCAGGAAGCGGCGGTAGTTGTTGGGCGCCTGGGCCACGAAGCCGGCGAAGGGCAGGGGTACGAGAGGCTGCAGGAAGTGCTCGGGGAACTCCACGTCCTGCCGGTGGTCCAGCCACGTGTCCTTGGTCATGACGCCGTTGCGGGGGTAGAAGGGCCACAGGTCCACGTGCAGGTGGTTGCTCTCGCTGTACTGCACGCGGAAGAAGTCGCCTTCCACGGCCTTCTCCCACACGAAGCCCCGCTCGTCCACCACCGAGCCCGCCTCGGCCCCACGCAGCTGCTCGCAGTTGCCCACGTCCTCCAGGTAGATGCCCAGGTCCACGTCGTAGTCCCACGGGATGATGTCGCCGTGGCGGGCGGCGCCCAGCAGCGAGCCGCCCTCCAGCCAGTAGCGCACGCCGGCCGCCTCCAGCACGCCCACCACGTAGTGCGCCGTCTCGCGCAGCGCGCGCAAACAGCACGGGGGCGTCCAGCGGTCCTCGTAGAGGTAGGCCGGCGTGTCGCCCACCACCGTGCCGAAGCACCGCGTGGTCTCCTTGCTGCAGCCGAACCACTCGAGCCGCCCGCCCTCCCAGCTCACCAGGCGGATGCCTAGCGTCCGCAGCAGCGCCGCCCGCCGCGCGCGCGCCTCCCGCTCCGCCTTCCAGCGCGCATGGGCCGTGCTTAGCGGGGGCTGGCGCGCGGCTGCGAAGGGCGGCTCCAGCAGCCGCACGGGCCAGCCGCGGAGGGCGGTCTGCAGGAAGAGGCTGGTGCCCAGCGGCCGGGCCAGGGGGGCCGAGAGGTTGAAGAGGTCGCGCGCACGCAGGAGCACCACGGCGTCCCCGTCCAGGGCGTCGCAGCGGGGCGCGGCCGGGGCCCCGTCGTAGCGGGCGGTCCACTCCCGCAGGCTGACGTTCAGGGCCAGGCACCGCGCGGGGTTGCCCGTGGCCACGGGGGCGGCCACTAGGCGGGCGCCTCCTGCCAGGAGCGCCTCCACCATGCGCTCCAGCTGGCCCGGGGCCTCGGCCCTCGCCCCGTCGGGAACCAGAGCCACGAACTCGGTGGCCACGTAGGTCTCGGGGCGGGAGGCAGCCGCGGGCCGGTCCAGGGCAGGCTGCAGCAGTGCCAGGCGCACGTTGGGGAGGCGGGGCAGGGCCAGGGGCGGGTAGGGCAGCGTGTCGGCTGCCACGACCACCGGCTGGGCTGGGTCCTGCTGCAGAAAGGAGTCCACCAGCTCGGGGACAGCATTGTCAAAGGCCTCGAATTCCCGCACCAGGATGGTGACTCGGGGGCCGGCGCCAGAGCCACGGCGGGTACCCCGCGGCCGGGAGTTCCTGGGCTGGTGCTGCAGCCACGAGACATAGAAGAGGACCAGAAGGTTGAGGATGATGGCGGCCGCCAGGGCAGCCTGGCATCGGGTGAGCCTCATGGGGCGGGCTTCAGGCCCTAGCTGGGCCTCCTGGCATCCTGGAGAGGGGAGAAGGAAAAGGGGAGCTGGAGCTGGTCGTCAGCCCCACCCACCCATCCAAGCTTTGCCTTCTCTCCTGCCCCTTTTTTCTATTTTGGTTTTAGCTATGACATCACCTCCTCCAGGAAGCCCTCCGGGCCTCCCACACTGGGTCACAGACCCACTCTGAGCTCCTTCAGTCTCCCCGTCCCTCTATCCCCGCCCCTCCGTTCTGAATCATCATTTTCTGGGGATGGCTCTGTGTCCCCCACTGGATCACGTGACCCCACAAATCCAGACCCTGGGCCTGTCTTAAGTCACTGCTGGACTTAGGACACCACCCAGCAGGGAGCCAGGTACACATTCCTAAAGCCAAAACCAAGCCTACTGCCACTGAGTGGATTCTGACTCATAGTGACCCCGTTGGGTTTTCAAGGCTGTAAATCTTTAGGGAAGCAGATTGCCTCATCCTCCTCCCACAGAGCAGCTGGTGGGTTTGAACTGCCAACCTTCTAGTTAGCAGCCAAATGCCTTACCCACTCCACCACCAGAGCTAAAAGCTGTTTTCAAATGAATCAGCTTCCTTATTTCCTTGTTCAAGTCTACTCTTTCCTTCTTCTCTGTCAACTTTTCATTTGGGTTCAGGTTCAGTTATAAACACTCCCCACCCCCAAGCCCAACTTCCACCTTGTTCTACACCATTGCCTCCTCCAGGAAGCCACCCCGATCTCCCTTCTCCCAAACATCTTGGCCACCTCCAGGGCCAAGCTGATGTTGCACCCTTGAGCTTCAGCTACCAATCCCTTCTCCCAGTGAAGACCCCCAAACCCTGGATCATCAAGTCACCCTCCCCGATGGTCAGCCAGATGGCCTGGGTTTTGCTAGAAAAATCTTCTTTACAAATCAGATGTCTCCCAATTTCTAAATATTGTCCGCTGATTAAAACTTTAAAAAAAGTAAAAACCTGGAGTGAGAAACATCCCAAGAACTTGTCAGCCCTGAGGCACTCCCTGCCCGGGTCATTGGCCATACTCCCAAAGGACCCACAAATGGCGCTGTCTCCCTGTCCCCACCTCTGCTCCAAGATTCCAAGGGGTACAATTTTCTGGGTTCTGTGTAGTGCTCTCTGTCCCTTTCAGAGGAGCTCTGGTGGCATAATAGTTAAGCCCTCAGCTGTGAACCGAAAGGTTGACAGTTGGAATCCAGCCACTCTGCGAGAGAAAAACGTGGCAGCCTGTTTCTCTGTAAAGATGACAGCCTTGGAAACCCTATAGGGCAGTTGTACTCTGTTCACTGGGGGAGCTATGAGTCAGAACAGACTTGAAGCCAGTGGGTTTGGTTTGGACTTCGCTCCTGTAAAGATGACAGTCTTGGAGACCCTGTGGGGCAGTTCCACTCTGTCCTCTAGGGGCGCCATGAATCAGAATCCACTCCCTGGCAGTGGGTCTGGGTTTGGCCAGAAAGAGGGGATATTAGAGACCAGCCAACCATCAAATCTTTCTACTTTGCATCATCCCCCTAGAGTCCCACTCAGCTTCTCCTGCTCCCCTGCTCCAGTTTTGTCCCCAAATAGTCCCCCTCCTCATGGTAGCCAGGGGGTCTTTGTAAAGCACAAATTTGACCTGTCCCTCCACCTGCTCAGAGCTTACTACAGCTCCCCAGTGCCCTGGGGAAAGTTTAAACTTCTTATAACATCCCACAAGGCTTTGTGTGACCTGGCCCTCACCTGCCCACCATTGCTGCCTCATCTCCTGCAGCACCTCCCTCAAACTCTGTGCTGTAGCCAGCTTAGACTTTTCCTTAACCACGGCTTGTATCTAAGTCTTCACATATTCTGTTCCCTCTGTCTTCTCCCCACACCTGTCCTCTTAGAGAATTACTTATGCTTCAGGCCTGAGCTCAGATGTCTCCTCCTCCAGAAAGTCCTCCCTGATGCCCCCTCTGGACTTTCCCAGTCCTTGGGCTCCCCTACCCCAGCACTACCCACTTGGGTAGTTACTGTGTGTCTGGGGATAGGTCTGTCTCCTTTGATGGAAAAGGCAGGGTCAGGGCTGTCTCAGTCACCTGTGTTCCCAGAATATGGCCTGGCACTGAGAATGCACTTGGTGAAAACGTGGTGGCCACGGGCAGGGTGTATGCATCTGGAAAGCCAAGGCTGGCTTTGTCCTTGATGCCCAGCTCGGCCCCTATTGCCCTAGGCCTGGGGCCCTGCCCTAGTTGTCCTGCCTCCTCTCTCTCCCTCCCACCAGGTGTCACCTCCCACCTCTCTGCACTTATCCCAGTCCTGCTTGCCCTTCCTTGATTCAACTCAAAAACCAAAAACCCACTGCCATCCAGTCGGTTCCAACTCACAGCGCCCCTAGAGGACAGAGTAGAACTGCCCCATAGGATTTCCAAGGCTGTCAATCTTTATGGAAGCAAAGCCCAAACCAAACCCACTGCCGTGGTGTTGATTCTGACCCACAGCGCCCCTAGAGGACAGAGTGGAACTACATCACAGGGTTTCCAAGGCTGTCAATCTATGGAAGCCGACTGCTTCATCTTTCTCCTGCAGAGTGGCTGGTGGGTTCAAAATGCCTACCTTTTGGTTAGCAGCCAAATGGCTTAAGCACAGTCCTTAAGAATCTTAATTGCAATTTAAGAGTGATTTTCTACTCTTTAAACAAAACAAAATGCAGTTGCTGTCAAGTTGGTTCCAACTCATGGTGAACCCAGGAGTAGAAATGCCCTCTGTAGCGTTTTCAATGGCTATGAGCTTGGACTCCTAGAAGCTTCAAGTTGCCTTCTGGGCCATAGGTGGGTCCCTGCCTCCTTCACTGTCAGTGGGGACCTGCTGAGTTCCCACAGCACGCCGGGCTCGGTGCCTGGCTCTGGGGAGGGTTATGGATTGAATTGTGCCCCAAAATTTCTGCTACACCTGGGAAAAGGAACGTAGGGGTGCAGTGGTTAAAATGCTTGGCTGCTAACCCAAAGGTCAGAGGTTTGACTCTATCAGCCGCTCAGTGGGAGAAGGAGGAGGCAGTTGATTACAGCCTTGGAAACCCTGTGGTGCAGTTCCACTCTTTCCTCTAGGGGCGCTGTGAGTCAGACTCAGGGCAGTGGGTGTGGTTTGGGCTTTGCTTCTGTGAAGAATGACAGCCTTGGAAACCCTGTGGGGCTGTTCCACTCTGTCCTCTAGGGGCGCTGTGAGTCAGAATCGACTGGAAGGCATTGGGTTTGGTTTGGGCTTTGCTCCTGTAAAGACTGACAGCCTTGGAAACCTTGTGGTGCAGTTCCACTCTGTCCTCTAGGGGCGCTGTGAGTCAGAATCAACTCCATGGCAGTGGGTTTGGTTTGGGCTTTGCTCCTGTAAAGACTGACAGCCCTGGAAACCCTGTGGTGCAGTTCCACTCTGTCCTCTAGGGGCGCTGTGAGTCATAATAGACTCCGGGCAATGGGTTTGGTTTGGGCTTTGCTTCTGTGAAGATTGACAGCCTTGGAAACCCTATGGGGCTGTTCCACTCTGTCCTCTAGGGGCGCTGTGGGTCAGAATCGACTGGATGGCAGTGGGCTTGGGTTTTTTGGGTACTGTGCCAGATGCTTGTGTTCTAGGGACACAGGAGTGAACAACATAGTCACTGGGTGTTATGGACTGAATTGTGTCCCCCCAAAATATGTGTCCCTGACTTCTGATGGGGTTCTGTTCTGATGACTCCATTGTAAGTTGGTTCTGACATAAGCTGAATACCTCTTTTTCCCTTAAGTTTTCATGGTCTGCTACATGGCAGTGTTGTGAACACACTGAACATCTCTGAATGAAAGTCTGGGAATGATAACATCATCAGATTACATGCTGTAACATTGTACATAATACATATTACTAACGATAAGATGAACAAAACAACAACAACAATAAAAAAAAACCAGACGGTTGTAAGTGTTGTTCATCATCACTGGGATATGTAGGGGCCTACTGTGGACGTAATCCCATTTGGGAATAAAACCTTCTTTGTTATATTAATAAGACAATGTTAGCATAGAGGACACCTTAAGCCAGTCATTATAGAGATATAAGAGATCAGGGACAGAGAGGGAAGGACAGACAGGGACAATAGATGCCACGAGATCACCGAGAACCCAGGACCGGAAGCTGAGGCAAAGGTCTTCCTGTAGCCTTCCCCTGGTGCCTGTGTCCAGAATCCAGACTTTCAGCAAGTAAAATGTTGCTGAAAATAATTCAAAAACGGTTACGGCAGTACATAGAGAAGTGCCAAAAATTCAAGCTGGATTCAGAAGGGGATGTGGAACGAGGGATATCATTGCTGATGTCAGATGGATCTTGGCTAAAAGCCGAGACTACCAGAAAGATGTTTACCTGTATTTTATTGACTATGCAAAGGTACTGCACTGTGTGGATCATGAATCGTGGACAACATTGCGAAGAATGGGGATTCCAGAACAATTCATTGGGCTCCTGAGGAACCTGTACATAGACCAAGAGACAGTGGTTCGAACAGAACAAGGGGATACTGTGTGGTTTAAAACCAGGAAAGGGGTGTGTCAGGGTTGTATCCTTTCACTATAGTTATTCAGTCTATATGCCGAGCAAATAATCTGAGAAGCTGGACTATGTGAAGAAGAACACAGCATCAGGAAAATTCATTAACAACCTGTGATGTGAAATGACACACCCTTGCTTACTGAAAAGGAAGAGGACTTGAAGCAGTTACTAATGAAGATTAAAGACTACAGCCTTGTGTATAGATTACACCTCAACACGAAGACAACAGAAATCCTCGCAATTGACCAATAAGCAACATCAGGATAAATGGGGAAAAGATAGAAATCGTCAAGGATTTCATTTTACACAATCAGCGCCCATGGAGCAGCAGTCAAGAAATCAGACAACATACTGCATTGGACAGATGTGCTGAGGGTGACGTCTTTAAAGTGTTTAAAGAGCAAAGACGTCATTTGGAAGACTGAGGTGTGCCTGACCCAAGTCACGGTATTTTCAGTGGCCTCGTATGCTTGTGAAAGCTGGACACAGAATAAGGAAGACCAGAGAAGAATTGATGCATTTGAATTATGATGCTGGCAAAGAATCTCGAATATATCACGGACTGCCAGAAGAACAAACATCTGTCTTGGATGAAGTACAGCCAGCTGCTCCTTAGAAGCGAGAATGGTGAGACTATCATATTTCGGTCATGTTGTCAGGAGGGAGTCCGGTCCCTGGAGAAGGACATCGAGTGTGGTAACCCAGAGGGGCAGAGGAAAAGGAAGACCCTCAACGAGAGGGCCTGCCACCGTGGCTGCAATGGTGGCTCAAGCTTAGCGAGGAGTGTGAGGCTGGCGCAGGGCCGGGCGGTGTTTCGTTCCGTTGTACACAAGGTCTCTACGAGTCGGAGCGGACTCCGGTGCACCTAATGACCCTGACAACAGCCTCCTGAGTTGTCAGAAGACAGATTCAAAAGCACACTAACAACTACAGCTACGGAGGGAAATGATCGGGGGCTGCGATAGAAAAAAATGAGGGGTATGCTTTAGAAAAGGGCGTCAGGGAAGGAGAGGACAGTTAAGCTAAGACTGTCTCTCCATTTCCCACAAAGCATTGTAAGTTGATCCCAATTCACTTGGGGCCTGGGGTTCCCAGGCTTAAGCTTTGAGGTACTCTGAACCTCAGTTAGAAGCTCTGGAGGTGCAGTGGTGAAAGCGTTTGGCTGTTAACCAAAAGGTCAGCAGTTTGAACCCACCAGCTGCTCCGTGGGAGAAAGATGAGGCAGTTGGCTTCCATAGTTACAGCCTAGAAAACTAATGGTGCAGTTCCACCCTGCCCTCTAGGGGTGCTGTGAGTCGGAATTGACTCCAGGGCAGTGGGTTTGGTTTGGGCTTTGCTCCCATAAAGACTCACAGCCTTGGAGACCCTGTGGGGCAGTTCCACTCTGTCCTCTAGGGGCGCTGTGAGTCAGAATCCACTCCATGGCAGTGACTGGGAGCCTCAGTTGCTACGTCTGAAGAATGGGAATGTGAGGGCACAGAAAATGAGAGCTGTGTGGGAAAGCCTTTGAAGATGAAGAATGCGCAGTTGCTGTGAGAGAGCTGGAGACCTTACGGGACTTCTTACCTCCTAGGTTGCAGGGTGGGGAGACCCCCAAGAGGCAGTCCCAGCCCAGCTCAGTTGCACTGCTGTGGGAAGAACCAGAGAACCCCAGTCAGCCAGTGTTGCAGAGCAAGGTACCTAAAAACCAAATACCAAATCCACTGCCATCAAGTCAATTCTGACTCATAGCAACCCTCCAGGACAGAGTACAATCGCCCCATTGGGTCTCCAAGACTGTAACTGTATGCAAGCCGACTGCTTCATCTTTCTCCTGCAGAGCGGCTGGTGGGTTCAAATGGCTGACCTTTCCGTTAGCAGTCAAATGCTTTAACCACTGGGCCACCAGGGCTCCTTAGAACAGAGTACAGTTTCATCTTATCTACAAGAGTGTCAACTAGAGGATTAGGAAATTCTTTGGACATGCTACAAGCTGAGGCACCACCTGGAGCATCTCAGGAGGGGGTAGGGTGGAGTGGGCAGGATGTCAGTTACCATAGCAATCTGTAACCTCCCCCCTCGTGAATGTGTCCAGAAAGGTGGGGCTAGAAGTGATAGAAGCTGTTACCATGACAATCCCTTCCCTGGGCTCACTCCACCTCAAGGGGCCATTCTAAATTGTCCCCCACCTTGGTGAGCCTGGTTCTAGGGTCACTGGAAGGGGGCTGCCCCCCTTACAATAGCAACCAGGGCTTGGCCTTGTCTATTTCTCACCTCCCTGGAGATGGTCCAGGCCCTGTAACCATAGCAACTGCTCCTCAGCAGCGCATCTCTTCCTCTAAATAAAAACACCTGGTTGGTTTGGCCCTGGGGCCTCCCACGAAGGCAAAGAGGGAGATGGTTACCATGGTAATTCCAACTGGGTGGTATGGGAGAGGGGTTGAGGAAAAGGTGCTTTTCTGCCATCAGTCTCCTTGGGGCCTGGGGTCCTTTCTACCTGAGTGCTAGGTGAAGGAATTGCCATAGTAACGGAAGGGACCGGGGCAGAAGGACCACCAAGGACTAAGGTTATACCTTAGCAATCCTCCCCAGGTGTGGGGACAGGAAAGGTGTAGGGGTCCATAACCACAAGTGGAGGGATGGGGAGAATGAGGGGAGCTCTAGATTGAGGAAGGGTTACCATGACAACCGACCTGGGCCAAGAAGGAGAGGATGCGACCAGAGCTGAAAGCACCCCTGGTGGTCGCCGTTTCTCTCAAAAGAGCTAAAGTGATTGTTGAGGGGAGTGGTAGGTGGGGCTGGAGAGGGTGAGAAGCTTGCTATTGGGCGGCGCGGGAGGAGGGGGCAGAAATTGGCCCCTCCCCAAGACTCGCTTCTCCCAGGGGGAGCCTCGCGCCCCGCCCTCCCGGGTCCCACTGGCCCACCTCCGGGCGCGCGCGCTTTCGGGGTCGACCCCGCTGGGCGAGGCTCGCGCCCGGCCGCGCTCTCGCAAGCGAGCCCCACTCCCCGACCCCCGTCGGGCGCG